ACCAGGACAGCAATTAAACTGATTTAATGACCCTTGCATCACGCTAGAAATGTGTCTCCTAATGTGTATTTAATTGCTAGACTAGGTCTTTAAGTTGTGCCACATGCAGAGGTTTTTTCTGCTGGCTGGTTAGCAAGAGGGCTGGAATTAGAAAGGCAAATGAGCAGATTGTGAGGATCAGGAAAGGAAGCCTGGAACAGGCAGAAATGAACAGGAAGTTTCACAGGCCTAAGGCCATTTGTGTTTGGCAGGAACCATCTTTCTAGTAAAAGACTTAATTTCACATAAAAATGTTTTGTTTAGGGATAACTGCACTTTCCTACTAGAAAGGAATAAAGCCCCTTCCTTGTAGGGAACTATCTGCTTCTAAACAAAGAAATTCTTATGTGCAGGCTTGTATTTGGAAAATAAAAGAACAATTTTCATAACTAGTGATTTCCAAGTCAGTGTCTAGTTGCAGTCTGTACAGTGCCAGGGCAGAGACTGAGACAGGTCCAATTTCTGGCATACACCAAAATTTTAAAACACTTTTTGTCTCTGGAGGAGAATAATAATTGTGCATGTGGTCCTTCTCACCTTGAGGATATTACATTAGTACTATCCTCGTCATTGTCTTATTTTGCTTCAACAATCCCGGTGATTAAATGCACCAAAACATACCAGTTCGACATTCTGGATTACTTGGCTCCAGTAAGTAACAGCATTTGCCAGCTATCACATACTGCCACTTACATATCCTTTTCTCAGCTGACTGCAATGGTGACTAGAGCACTAAGTAATATTTTGTCCTGTAATGTACTGCATTCTCATTTAGAGGAATTCGTACCCATGAGAGAATGTAATAGGGATTTTGCTTTGCTAAATATGCATTTATGTGCTTTCCTTCTCTCTTGTGCATACACACAAATACAGGCAGGCAAGCTATGTAACTTTAAACTTTTCTGAGCTACTGGACTATATACATCAGTGATAGTAGTTATGAAAATCCAAGTCACATACATTGATCAATCATGTAAGTATTAATATTAGTTTGAGTGACATTTTTAATATATTGTTTCTCCCTGAGCAAACTTAACTTTCATGTCATCTGGTAGTAATTGTGATGAATAGTAGATAGAAAGAGGCAATATAAAAAGATAAATCCAATTTTGTACCCCTTCTAGGTAAAAATTGTGGAACAAACCCTTATGTTATTTTTATTATGCAGTGTCATATTCACTATGCTAATTTTACAGAACAAATAGCCATAATCCACTTTGTATCATTACAAATGTATGCTTTGTAAAGGAGTCGAGAGACTTCAAATTTAAAATATAAGCCAGACAAGCAGAGAGAAGCAAATACCCCAACGGCAAGCAAAATGGATTCCCTGGAGGGGACAATTTTACACAGAGGTGGAGCTGTACTAGAAATACCGAGGATATTTCAAATAGTAGCAAGCATGAATGATTGCCTAATTGCACTGTTCATTCCTTAAAGCAGATTTCACAATATGTGCAGATACATACAGAGAAAGTGAGGTATTTATTGATTTTTGGTTTTAAACTGACATGCAATTTTCAGAGGTTTTTTTCTTCACACAAAAGGCCTCAGCAGTTTTCAGTTGTAGCAGCTGTACCTTCCCTTTCCAAGACTATGAGAAATCCTGATGTTCCACTTTTCATACTGAGGGGCTGGGATGTTGGATGTTTCAGATCAGATACTGGGTATTCTCATTCTGTGAGTTTGAGAAATTTTGAATACCGGTTCTATTCTCATGCACAGAGCTTATGATTCCTCAGTAACATCCAACTATAAGATCAAGATCAACTTAATACGTGAAGGCTTCTACCACTTTCTGACTTCTCCTGGATTCCCTCTGCAATTTTATAACCGACTTCACTATTGGAACATCCAGCTGCTAACTCATGTGAGAGCTACCATTTGTCAAACATTTTATGTTTCAAAACACGGATGTATTTTCTTCTGAGCAGAGCTATTTTACTTCTTTCAAATGAGGCACACTTGTTCTGCTTGCGTTCGTTCCATGGCCTTTGCCAGAGGGGTGTGGATAGGAACGCAAGAGGGGAGAAGGGCAGGGTCTCCACAGAACCGTGGAGTTCAGCAGCAGCTGAACTCTGGGCAGAAGAGCAGATCTGTGCCTTTGAACTCCATCTCCCAACGGCTCTAAGGCGTTTTAAGGTGCAACCACCTTAAAACAGAACGGAGGTGACATTTTAAAGGTGTACTCATCACGGCTGTGTGATCTTACCTTTGCTTTTGCTTTTAATTCTACAAGTTCTGTATTTTATTGAATTAGCTAAGAAGGCATAAAGGGGAGGATTATTTAATAATTATTTCTCACACAAACATATACGCAAGCCTACACGCACATTTCAAAGCATTTTCACTTGTTCTAAAGTCTCTGTTTGACTTATGTGACAGAAAAAAATGTCAGTTTGAAAAACTGCAAGCTCCTCAAACATCATCTCTTTGTATTAGTTCCAACACTGATGACAGCAGCTAGTCTTTCTCCCAGTCAGAGCTGGTGACCCGGCACGGCTATGGAAGTGTGACCTGCACTCCATTGTGTTTTGTGCCCCATCAACAAAACCATCAGCTCAGCAATAACTGCTACAACCTTTATAATTTACTGATGTATGAGAACAGGCAAAATGTAAATGTGGATCTGGAGATTCAAGAGAGAAAGTAAGCACAGACCCCTAAGGTATATATTTTTTTCTTTTCTCTACAGCAATTTTTCATATTGTGGCCACTTTCCAAGAGCTCAACTTGCCAAACAGGTTGCATCAAACCTGAAGACCATGCTGCTGTTCAGCACAATGAAAAGTTACCCCAAAACAAGGTAATCACATAGGCACTCTGTAAACACTGTGAAATGAACTTCACCTCAAAAGTTTACAAATGGAACAAAAGGTTGGAGGAAAAAAGTAGATGCCCAGTGGAAACAATGGCAGAGATCAGAGCAGAATTTATGTCTGCTTGATTTCTGGACCATTGCTACACCTAAATCACATCTCTGCAAACTCAAATGTGAAAAAGTAAACAGAAAAAGTACCCTTCACAATGAGACATGCAGACATACAAGGTCAGTGTTCTAAATTCTCAGCTTCACAAGCAGAACTGCAGGACCAGCAATTTACAGGCAACTCCTGCTGATGTTTCTAATTGCTACAGTAGAGATTATGTACCTTCTTCACAGCAGTAGCATATAAAATCTCTTCTCCATTTCAACTGCTAAAGCTCAGCTAGCATGGCTGTTCCTGGGGATCATTAGCATGTGCTACAGATGTTGCTAGATA